ATCTGTCTGGGGATGGGGAGACACCCCTTATCGACAAGGGTGCCTGAACAAAGCATATTTGTATACCTAACCCTAAACTGTACCCCATAATATCAAAATAAAAAATATTGATATAAAAAAATTAAATTAAATTTAAAAAATAAAAAAAATAAAAGTTAGGTTTATTGAATATAATTTATATAGAATAAATTCATCCTTTCTAATGTACAGCTGTTTGAGTTTTGATGAATGCAAATAATAATCATGTAACTACCACCAAAATAAAGATATAGAAATGTTCCACTACTCTCCAAAATTTCCTCATGCCCTTTTGGGATTCACCCTTCCTCTCTCCCCCCACCCACCCCCCACAACCAGCCAACCATTGATCTGTTTGTCCCTATCGTGTTACTTTTTCAGAGTGTCATAGAATAGAATCACAGCCTTCTGAATACAGCTTATTTCACTTACCATGATGCATCTGAGATTCACTTGTGTTGCTGCATGAACTAGGAGTTCATTCCTTTTTACTGCTGAGTCTAATGTCCATCAATTGTAAAATAGGTTGTTTATCCATTCACCAGCTGAAGAAAATGTGGAATTTTTCCACATTTGGGATGATTATGAATATACACATTGGGGTAATTACGAATACAACTGCTATGGACATCCGCATATAGGCCTCTGTGTGAAATATTTTCAGTCAACTTGGTTGCTGAGCAGTAGGGCAAGTATATGTTTAACTTTAGAAGAAGCTGCCAAATGTATTCCAAGGTGGTCGTTCCACTTTGGCCTGCTCAGGTCTCCACCAGGATCTCCATCCATAGTCCAGTTCACCTAGGTCAGATTTGCAGCTGGAGCTGAGGGGCAGGCTGCCTGCCTGGGCACGGCAAGCCCTCCAGCCGCCACAGGGGCCTGGCTGGCACCCTGCACCATGCCCATCAGTACCATGTCCAGGTTGTATAATAGTAGGGACTGTCCTCATCTGAGAACAGCTCTCCATGCAGCTGGGAAATTTTTAGTTTCCAGTGTCTCAAATATCTGATTTAATGACTTCTAAAAGCTTCCTCTATTTTCTCGAAGGCTGCCTCTCCCAGACGCTGATGTGCAGGTTCCTGAGCATCAGTGCTGAGGTCACCAGGCAAAGGTAAGAAATCCCAAGCCGTGGGCGGGGCTTGCTTTCTCCCAGTCCTGTGTGGCACAGATCACAGGATCTCTGTGGACACTAGGCACCAGAGAATGTACCCCCACATCCTGGGGTGTGCCACGTCCCATCCTGGGTCATCTTTTGAATCTGCTGGACCCTGTTGGTCATGAGGTTCAAGTGACAGAGGTTGGGCTCCACCAACATGTGGCAGAGCTGGAGTATCACCAGGGACATGTCCAGGAGCAACTGCGGCTGCAGACTGTAATGAGGGCATGGTCTTAAAGGCGGCCAGGGCTCCCTTCAAGGAAGTCTTTCTTGTGGCCACAACATTTCCTCTCAATCCTCCGGCAAACATTGTATCCTGCGGGGGGGAGGGAATGGGGGGGATGGGTGCACTGCCAGGCTCCCTCCACTGCCGCCACTCCTTTCTTTCTTGGTAATTTGTGTCTTTCTATTTGTCAGTCTGGCTATAGGTGTATTCACTATATTGATTTCCAAGAACTAGCTGCTGTTTTCACTGATTTTCTCCCATTTTTTTTCCTTTTCATTTTCATGGTTCTAAATCATTTCCTTTCTTCTGCTTGTTTTGGATTTAATTTGCTCTACTTTTTTAGTTTATTAAGGTGGAAAATTAGATCATTGATTGCACCTTTCTTTTTAAAAAATTTTTTAAATTTTTAGTTTTTTTATTTTATAAATAATACATGTATGTATTTATGGAGTACATATGATATTTTGTTACATGCTTAGAATATGTAATGATCAAGCCAAATATACACCACCTTGAATGTTTACCATTTTGATGTGTTAGGAACATTTGAAGTCCTCTCTTTTAGCTATTTTTAAATATCCAATGCATTGTTGTTAACTATAGTTACCCTACTCTGCTAGAACATTGGAATTTATTCCTTCTATCTACCTGTACGTTTATATCCATTAACCAACTTGTCTTCACCACCTCCCCACACACATACACATCTTTCCCAGCCTCCACTATCATTTTACTGTCTACTTTCATAAGATTAACTTTTTAGTTCCTATATATGAGTGAAAACATGTGGTATTTATCTTTCTGTGCCTAGCTAACTCACACTGAACATAGTGACCTCCAGTTCCATTCTTATTGCTGCAAATGACAGACTTCCATTCTTTGCAATAGCCAAATGGTAGTCCATAGTGTATATATACCATGTTTTCTTTATCCATTCATCTATTGATGGACACCAAGGTTGATTTAGTATCTTTACTATTGTGAATAGTGCTGCAATACACATGGGGTGCAGGTATCTCTTTGATATACTAATTTTCTTTTCTTCGGATAAGTAAATACCCAGTAGTGAGGTTGCTCAATCATATGGTAGGTCTATTTTAGTTTTTTGAGAAATCTCCATACTGTGTTTCACATTGGTTGGACTAATTTACATTCTCATCAATAACATATGAGAGTTTCCTTTACTCTATGTCTTCACCAGCATCTTTTTTTTTTTTTTTTTTGTCTATTTTATAATAGCCATTCTAACTGATGATATCATGATATCTCAACATGGTTTCTTTTTTTCTAACATAAGTATTTTATGTTATAAATTTTCCTCTAACCTATGCTGTATTTTGTTATGTTGGTTTTTTAAAAATTTTTATTCAGTTCAAAACACTCATAATTTTCTTCTTGACTTCTTCTTTTACCCATGGGTTATTTAGAAGTGTCTTGCATAATTTTCAATTATTTGGGAATTGCCTATATGTCTTTGTTATTGATTTCTACTTTCATTCCATTGTGATCAGATAGTGTACTTTGAATGATTTCAAGTTTGTGAAATTTGTAAGAAACTGTCTTATTGCCTAGAATATCTTCTACCTTAGAAAATGTTCGATGTGCACTAGAAATTGATATATATTTTGTTGTTATTAAGTGATTTCTTTTTTTCTGGGGGCAAATTCCCTCTAGTGTCTTCATGTTTTTGGTCACTCATAGTACTTTAAACATTTGAGTTTTTTAAAATATTATTTTTAAAAATTTATTATTTTTATTGGTGAGAGGGTTAGTTTGTTATAGTCTACTCTAGTCTACCTGTAGCCAGAATTCTTAGATTCTTGTAATACAAGAACAAATTTCTTTTTTTTTTTTTTTTTTTTTGAGTTGGAGTTTCACTCTGTCGCTCAGACTGGAGTGCAGTGGCCGCTCCCGGCCACTGCAGCCTCGACCTGCTGGGCGATCCTTCCGCCTCAGCCTTCCAGGTAGCCGGAACTACAGGTGTGCGCTACCACGTCCAGCTGATTTTTTGATTTATTGTAGAGATGAGGTCTCGCTGCCCAGGTGGGTCTCAAACCCGTGGGCTCAGTCAAAATTTCTTATTTTTAAGCCAGTTGTATGTTGGGTTTTTTGGTTCTTTCAAGCAAAAAAATCCTAAGAACTGTGCACATACACAGTACTTCACAATATATAAAATGAAATGGGCCAAGGCGAGTGGATTGCCTGAGCCTGCCGGTTTGTGACCAGCCCGGGGAACTTGGCGAGACCTCGTCTCTAAAATAAACCTCTGAATTTACCCCACATCTCTATTAAAAAAAAAAAAAAGAATGTGGGAGAGAAAGAGGATTGACTGCAGGATAAAGTCATTGGAATGGCAAGAGAAGGATCTAGGCATACAAGAAAGAATTTAGTATAATAAATTGTGTTTGATTTACCATAATACTGTAAAAAACAATTGGCAGTAATGAGATACTGGGGGGGGGGGGAGAACGTCATAACATCAGTAAGGGAACTGATCTCAAAACAGGCAAAATGGGGACCAAAGGGAGGCCCAAACTTTACCTGCATGATGTCTACTTGTATACCTAATCCTGAATTGTACCACACATCTTTAAAATAAAATATTAAAAAATTTTAAAAAATAAAAAAATTAGCTGGGCGTGGTAGCGTGTACCTGTAGTTCTGGCTACTTGGAAGGCTGAGGCAGAAGGATCACTGGAGCCCAGCAGGCTGACACTGAGATGGCCATGAGCGTGCCACTGCACTCCAGCCGGGGCGACAGAGTGAGACCCCCAACTCCGAAAAAAAAAAAAAAATTAAATGCCAAGAACACAGTTAAAACTATTGTTTGACTTAAATTAACCCATATTAAATTAAAATAGAAACCAATTTTGTAGCCTGCTTTATTTACTTGGAGGTAAAACTATTTACAAATTTTCCAGGGTATTTCCAAATGAAGAAAGAAATAATTGAAAGATTATTACCTTTACACTCGGGGGCATCACTGCTCCATACTGCATTGTCAGAACAATAAAGCTGGCTCTCTCCAACAAGTGAAAATTGATCTGGTCCAGGTGCAGGATCACAACTATAAGTTACTGCTTCAAGATATTCAAATACTTCTATGTCACTAAAGGTATATTTTCCATTTTTTATTTTTGGAGGTGGTGAACACAAAATCTCTTTAAAAGCGGAAAAAAGAGCAAATGAAAGGCAAAAGGGAAGGTAAAAGATTAAGGCAGCATTAGTAAAGTCCTATGAACTGCCGCCAATAAACTCATCAATTAGGATTTCTACAAGCTGTGAGTTCAATATCCATATAGTAGAGAGTTTCTTTGAGAAATGTAATTTCTCAAATTCAAAACATTAACGTAGTAATGAACTTTCAGAACATAACTCATTGTAAGACAATGCTGTTTTGATCTAGTCGCCATAAGAGATGCTGACAGTTTAATAAGAAAATATGCTTATGATTGCAATAAAAACTGAGTGCTGGTTGAAAATGCTTGGTAATTTATAAATATATATACTCTCTAAATTGGTGATTCACAATAATAGCAAGATATTAGTGTCTTTTTTACTCTCATCCTCACAAGTATACAGTGATTTATTTTTCCTCCAGAGGCTACATATTGTGTGATAATACAACAGGCCAAATCCAAGTCTTTATTTAAGGCATATTGAAGATATCTACAAAAATGCATCAGTGCCACCATTCTCAAATTTTTTTGGTAAAATTGTTATTTTTCATTAGAAAAGTCACATGTTAATGTGTATGGAGCTTATTATTCTTAAAAATGAATAAATTATGTAAAGACCTCTCCATTTCAATTCCAATATAATAAATTTAATAGATATAACCCACATAAATGAGAGCTCTTTGTGGTCTTTGTTAATCTCAAAGTATAAAAGTGTCCTGAGGCTAAAAAGTTTGAGAACTGCTGGTCTAAATTTTAAAAAGAAAATTACTTACTTTCACATACTGGGGCTTTACTGCTCCAAACTGCGTTTATGCCTTCAAGTTTACAATATAGAATTGGAGTACCAATTAAGTAGAAACTAAATGAAAAAAGAAAAGGATACTGTTTTCTTTAGCAGTTAATAAGGTATACATAATAATGAAGGACATTTTTATATGTTTACTTTTCTATGCTGCAGCAGTTTGCAAGAGGGCAGTTTCTTAAACAATATAATGTAAAATGAAAGTGCTAAATAAATCTGCAATTTAACCCAAGAGTTTCTCCATTTGAACACACACTGGCCAACAGCAGAGATGTCTAAATAAATCTGCTGTGCCTATCAGTCTTGCCTGACAGTTTCCTCTTGCTCAGTTTCCTCAACCATTAAAAGAAGTTAACAGAACATACCTCATGGAGTTATGTGTAGGATTAGATGTGTTAGCATCTGGCATGTTGTAAGTGGTAGGTGAGTTTTAGTTCTCATAAATATTATCTAGAACAGAAATATCTTTCTAGGAATAGCTCAGGAATACCCCCACTCAATGAAATCTTCCCTGATTATTTAAATTTTCTTCCTTCTGGACTTTCATTGTAATTTTCATGAATAATTCTACTTATTTGGTATTTCTCATTTACTATTCTGCTTTGATAGCTCTTGGTATATACTGTGTTTCTCAATAAGGCTACAACTTCTTTGAGAAGGGTCTATGTCTTAACTGACTGGTATCCTTCAAAGTGTAGCAAGTTCTCTCTGTGTAACTATTAACCGTATGTTCCAATATTTTTACTTGACCAAGTTAAAAAACCATCAATGAGACTGCCTTACATAGATAATCACAGCTGATTTTTCCCCCAAGGCTCACTCATCCTTTCTATATAGTTGTATATTACTGCTATAGTTTGAATATGGTTTGTCCCCACCAAAACTGAGGTTGAAATTTAATTGCCAGCGTAACAATGTAAAGAGGTGATGGAGACTTTAAGAGATAGATTAGGTCATTTAGAAGGATAACGCCTTCTGGGTTAATTCTCTAGGAGAGTGAATTCTCATTCCCACAGGACTGGATTAGTTACCACAAGAGCAGGTAGTTATAAAGTGAGGCCACCCTCATGCTTTGTCTTTTTTGCATGTGGTCACTTTTCCTTTCACTTTTCACCATGCTATGATGCGGCACAAAAACCCTTGCCATACACTGCTGCCATGCCCTCCAACTTCCTTGTCTCTAGAAATGTAAGTTGAATAAACTTCTTTTCTTTATAAATTACCTAGCAACAGAAAATCTGCCTGCCAAAAGCTAAGAAGACCCACATGATGATTATACAAGCAGTTTCAGTGTATACATATGCCCTCACTTAGTGACACCTTTGAAGGAACAGGAGATGAACCCTGTTCCATTTTAAAACTCTTAAATGCAGAGCATAATTTTCAATAAATTCTCATTAAAAATAAACAAAATGATGACCTTCACTTCTAATCTAACATCTGATACAGAGGGCTACCCTGTATTTAGCAGTTATCATTCTTATTATCAATGAATAAATGTTTACTACCAAGTGGCAAATCATGTTTTTTAATGATACCAATTTAAAAATAAAAAAATAAGTAAGATACATTTAAAAGCTTTTTTAAAAACTTGATTATAGAGGTGTATATTTTAACTATTAAATATCTCTCCATCTTTACTGACATTATATTTTTCCTTTGTCTCAGTATTATATACTTTAATTTTTTTGATCACTTTCCCAATATGTCATAACATCTGCTGCACAATTAATAAAGTCTGAAACAGGGGACTCAAACTTGAATGTCAAGGCCGTAACTACAAATGAGTGAAACTGATCAAGTTTACTTATTTATTTGCTAATTAAGTTGTTTATCCATTTATCAAATGTGTTTATTGCTTCCTATGTGCTAGGCCCTCTTCTAGGTGCTTTGGGATATATCAGTACTAACAACAAAAAAGATTTTTATTCTATACATCTTACATTCTACAGGGAGAAAAAAGAACCAACAAAAAATAAATGAAAGCCAGGCTCGGTGGCTCAGCCTGTAATCCCGCGCCTTTGGGAGGCTAAGGTGAGTGGATTGCCTGAGCCCGCGGGTTCAAGACCTGCCTGGGCAGCAAGACTTCATCTCTACAATAAATCAAAAAATCAGCCGGGCATGGTAGCGCATGCCTGTAATTCCGGCTGCTTGGAAGGCTGAGGCGAAAGGATCCCTGGAGCCCAGCAGGTCAAGGCTGCGGTGGCCAGGAGCGGCCACTGCACTCCAGTCTGGGCGACAGAGTGAGACTCCAACTCAAAAATAAATAAATAAATAAAAATTAAAAAAATAAATGAGATAAGTAATTGGAAGGTCAGAATGGAAGCTGTTCACTTGATAAATTAGAGGATTTATCAAAGTTAATGCAATAAGTGAGAAGTGCTTAGGCTGGTATTAGGAAACAAAATAGCTAAAAGAAGGATATTGAATGTTCCCAACTCAAAGAAATGATAAATGTTTAAGATGATGGCTATGCTAATTATCCTGATCTGATCGTTATGTATCCAAATATCACTATAAACCTCATAAATATGTACAATTGTTATGCCAATAAAAAATAAATAAAATACAAAAGAAAAAGGACTAAGAAAATTACATTTATTCTCTAAATGCACACTTTTCATATGTCCAGGATCTCCAATATATACTGTTTTAAATGCCCTGCAGAACAAAAGCTATTATTGAGTGTTCAGTACTTCACTTCTTTGTAACAGTCTCAAAAATAAGGTTTTTCAGCTGAGATATTTGGGTCAACATGATGGTAAAGGCTAACCAAGTCAGTTTTGGTCTGGTAACACCTTACAGGGTTATCTGGATACAAGTGTATCTTTGGTTGGCAATTTTACCTCCCATTTCTGTGAGCATTACTTCAACTCTAAGAGTTGGCAGAATTAAATAGGGTACACTCAGTTGTGAAGGATAAAGTCGCATGTTTATCACATTTTTAATGCTTACAATAGGCTTATTAATAGATCTAGCAAGCATTGTATAAAAATCCCGAGTTCCTTAGCTAGAAATACAACTTGTCCATGGCAAAATTAAATTAAGTTTATATGACTGCTAGAAGAGAAGCAAACAAAAATAAAATTACTCACATTCAACTTCATTTCCTCTAATGAGCAACTTACCCCTCATCACAAACAAAGTGCAACTGATAACCATACGCATTACTTCCATTTGCATAGATTGTTTTGCCATGTAAAGGATATCTTATAAATGGACAAATTTTTCCTAAAAGAAAGCAATTTTGAAATTTTAAAAAATCCAGTTTAACAGATTTGAATTAAAATCAAAATTCCACATTGCTCTTTTGAATTTATGTGAATATTTTCTGTGTTTACTATTATCAAGGCAAACTCACATGTCATATTCACCCAGGCAACCAATTGCCAAGAAAAAGTTTTCTTGGCAATTTCTCACAGCCTGAAAATATACACTGCTATCTTTTTTTTTTTGAGTTGGAGTCTCACTATCACTCAGACGGGTATGCAGTGGCACACTCACGGCCACCGCAGCCTTGGCCCACTGGGCTCCGGGGATCCTTCCTCCTCAGCCTTCCAAGTAGATGGAACTACAGGCACGCGCTACCACGCCTGGCTAATTTTTTTTTAATTTATTGTAGAGACGAGGTCTTGCCAAGTTGCCCGGGCGGGTCTCAAACCCATGGGTTCAGGCAACCACTCGCCTCGGCCTCCCAAAGTGCTGGGATTACAGACTGAGCCACCAAGGCCGGCCTATACTGCTATCTTAAACTTCATTTCGCACGAAAAAAATCACCACATCTCCATAGTGGAATATGTACGCTAAAATGTGTGAAAATCTCCAGAGCAAGCAGAAAAAAAGAAGTTTGTTTACTTACTATAGCAAGGTTCATCTGAGACAGGTAGCCATGTGTGATTCTGATCACAAATAGTATGGGTGGCAAGGGGAGGTACATAGTAGAATCCTTTTCTACAGGTATAATCTACTCGTTCCCCAACTTCATAATAGGTTTTGGGCTTGCCAATGAGTTCCATAGCTTCAAATGTTGGTGGCTCCTCACAGGCATCTAGGGGTAAGAGAATAAGAGAACATGAAGATGAAGTACTGATATCATTTTCACCAGCCAGGGACTGTGGTGTGGCAGTTGGTAGAACAGAAAAAACAGAAAGGTCCTTGGCAAGATTTTGAATGATTATTCCATGCTTTTACCCAAGGAGAGTGCAGTGGCCGCTCCCAGCCACCGCAGCCTCGACCCACTGGGCTCCGGCCATCCTTCCGCCTCAGCATTCCAAGTAGCTGGAACTACAGGCGCGCACTACCACACCCGGCTCATTTTGATTTATTGTAGAGATGAGGTCTCACCAAGTTGCCCAGGCGGGTCTCGAACCCACGGACTCAGGCAATCCACTCACCTCGACCTCCCAAAGGCGCGGGATTACAGGCTGAGTCACCGAGCCCAGCTGCTTGTTTTAAATAACATCCTATTAGGTTTTGGTTTGTTTGGGAATAAACTGAATTTTCATTCAACAGTAAATTAAAGAGACAGCATCCATGCTTCTGGTCTTTAAAAATATACATAGGTATGCATCTTTCCCCACATTTTTTAAAACTCATTTTAAGAGTACCCTCTCCTCTAAGAAGTCTTCAATAGCACATAGCACTCTGCTCAGATTACTCTTCCACGGTTGGAAACACAAACTTATAACAGTTTGTCACTTCAGGCTCAGTCTCCTCTTAGAAGACAAATTCCTAGAGGTCAAGAACCATGTCTTCTTCTTCTACTATATTCTACCCTGTGGATGTTCAAGAAATGCTATGGTATGGTAAGAGGGTAAATAAATGTAATGGATTTTATAGATCAAAGTAGATACAACTAAAGTATTTCAAATTGTAAGATTTCATTTCTAAGATTTCATATAAGTGCATTATTGAACATCTTATAAGTGAATAGACACATTTTCATATAAAAATTTACTACTTTGGATAGCCCTATATATTTTTTTCACTTTCTTGAACACTGAACACAATTTAATCTTCCCTCATTGATTACTACATCATGAATTGCCTCAGATGGACCTTGAAGTAGTTGTTGGATTGTTTATCCAACATATTCCTACAGTAGAGCTACTATATTGCTGTGTTTTTAGAATTTTTTACTTCTGTTTTTTATCTTTTTTTTTTCTTCTCCCTAGAGTGGTATCACTTCTACTTCAACAATCCAGTTTCCTTTTAATTATCAGTGAGCTTATAAACCTAAAACATTTGTTAATAACGACTATGTAAAATAAGATGATGGAGACATCAAGTAAAAGTCTAAAGGACCAAAATAATACAAAAACTTCTCCTTTGAGGAAGGACCTAAGGAAATAGATCTATTTGATCTCTGAGGAGGCTTTTCTTTCTTACTCACTGGAGACTAGTCAAGAGAAGTCTAACCAAGTGAAATGTTACTCTTCATTTCATGCCATATTCTAAATTCTAAAATTCTCTACATATGCAATGTCCAACATTTTATTTATATCATGTCCTGCAATCCACCTATTGGCAGTACATTTTCAATATTTCCACTATGCTAGCCTTGATATCTGAATGCTCCTCAGTCAATTGGTTAAAACAAAAAGCCCTGGTAATTAAAAGCATTGTTTTAAAAGATAATTTGTATAGAGATACATTTTATTGCTAAAATTAAATTTACTGACTACCCTGAACCAGACATTCTCATTTTACAATAGGAAACAAAAGGCTAGAAATGCTACATAATTCTCTTTCAGCTACAAATGCATAACATCATTCTAGAATTTCCTGGAACTACCAAAACTGAAATCAAGTAATGGCATGCCAGTGTTACATATGCATCCTTTGTTTTATGCATTCAATTTCAGTAACTCTCTTGAAAGCAGATAAAAAGATTCCTAACTTGAGTTTCGCATGTAATATGAAAAAATAATGTCAATTAGATGGTTTGTTTAGCTAATTTGAAGTGTTCTCTCTAACCTGCATTGAGAAGGCATGCTATCAACAATGTGCAGAGTTTAAAATTTTCGGTTTGGCAACCAGTGGACTACTTGCTCTATAAACTGTAATAATTTTGGCCAATATAACTTTTTTATAATAAAATTTCTTCTCTTGCTCAGAACACTGAATTTTCTTCCTAGAAGATTTTTAAACTAAACATTCCCAGCTCCAGAAAAACAGTATCTTGATTTCTTTTTTTCTGGCTATTTCGCTATGTAATTAATACTAAGCCGTGATGCTATACCTTAACATTGCATGGCATTATATCATATGACAAGTGCATTCAGAAAATTCCCCAAAATTCCAGGTAAGTTTCAGTAAAGTCAATTAATTCTCTACACTGGATCCACTGAACTATTCATCTTTTCTACATTCACATCTGCTTGCAAAAAAATTAACTCTAACATACACATAGCCAAATTAGTATCACCAGAAATTCATGGTATCTGACCACAGCTGGAATTGCAATGAAACCTGACCATCTGGCTGCTTCCTTCATTGTCCACACTAAGACTTTTGCTTCCTCAAAAGAGACTCCAACATCTACATTTGTCAATTTTATGTCTCACTTCTCACTCGATTCTATGTCTACAAAAATCACTTAAATTACTTCCCAAGGCATTAAATGGTCTCCTCCTTGTTAGGTTTATTCTAACAGTCACTTCCTCAGAAGTTTTCATTACCCTCTTGATAGCATCTGGAGCTATTGATCACTCTCTGCTGCCTGAAGAGCTCTCGCCTTGGCTTTTAGGAGAGCACACCACGCTGGTTTTCAGCTTGGCCTCTAGATACTCTTCCTTCTCTGCCAATTGGGATAAGATAATGTCCTTAGTGGGTGTGTTCTAGGACCTCCTGTTTCACTTTGTAGGTCCCAAGGGTGAATATACAATCCCATAACTTCATTACCACTGATAACCAGCTGACTCCTTGCTAGGTCCCTCTGTCCACCCTAGAGCTCTAGCTGGGGTGCCAAGCCTATATGTTCAATTGCTTCTCCACACAGCTCCACTTGAAATGTGTCATCCTATTTGAAATAATACAATGAAGCCCATGTGTGGTCACTTTTGATTCTCCACACTCACACACACCCAGCAAACAAGTTATGTCTCCACAATTGAAATGCCCACTCAGTCTCTCTAGGTCTATCCTTTACTTTTAGTTCAAGCCACTATTATGTCTTATCTGGATTGTTACAAGAGTTTCTGAATAGGTATCCTTACCTCTCTTGCCACCTTTCTGTCATTTTTCATATTGCTACCACAGTAATATTTATGATAGTAATCAAGGCTTTTCCAAGACAGATACCTTTCACTGGCTCCCCAGTTCTCTCACAATAATGTCTAAGTCTCCTTAATGTGTCTAAAGGACTTTTAAAGCCTATCACTGTCAGGACCCAGGAATGCCTTCCAGGTAGGTGGCAGACCCAGGAGGCAGGGCCAGCAACTTGGTTCCCAGGTTATACCAGTAAACTACTACCAAACTGCTTTCCATTACTGCCACTCATTGAGGGCCCATTTGCTGAAAACGACATACTTTATTTGCAATTAAGTCCTCAAGAAATTGTCTTCTGCACCTGGGGAAATTAGACCAACCGTACTTTAGATTTATGTTGTGCCAACAAAAGGGTTTAAACTGTCCTAAAAGAACAGGTAATATCATAGTCTGAATTTATGATAGTGATTGTTTACTTCTAACGAGCCTGTTGCTATGCATAATTATTCTATGATCTAGTCGCCTAGCTTTCTCTTGCCTCCTTTGGCAGACTCTGCTACACTGAGCAGCTTGGCAGTCTAGCTGTGTCACATCTTGGTGCCTTTGCTCACACTGCTTCCTCTGCTCTGAATGCTCTCCCATCCTGGTCAGCTGTGACTCTTATTCAACTCTTGTTGAGTCTTCCTGATTTAATCCACCCATCATCTCTTCTAGAAAGCATTTTCTGCCTTCCCTTGGGAAACTGATCCATTGCATTTCCCTGGGCTCTCCCCTGCATAGATCTCTCAGGTAGCTTTCACATGCTTTGTGTTAAATAGTTAACATGGCCGACTCCATTCATCCATGTGGCCACAACACCTATTAGTGTTGTACTTAGTACTAGTTTCTGGTACTTAGTATGTCTCAAATAATAACTACTCAAAGTACCACTGTTGTCAAACACAAAACAATGGTGAAGACTTCAAATTTCATATTAAAAAATAATCATCCTAAAGCTTTATGTATTAGAGAAAGGAAATTTAGCCATTTCCTGTGTTGCCTATATCCTAGTATTATGGTAATCAGTTGACCAGATAAGTACTGCTCTCTTCGCATTGTAGTACACAGAGTAAGCAAACTAAGAAGCTACTGTGTAAGCTCTTATTGATCTTGGCTTCTTTAATTGGAAAAAAGAGAAAAACTAAAATAGGCAGAAGAGACTACATAAAATAGGAGATTGGGTTTTTTTCCCAAAAGAGCAGCTTCCCTTCTGGAGGAATGAGACTGGTCCTGAACTTTGACAGATTCCTTTTGTTTTCTTCTTGTAACGACTGCTTTCCACCCTCATCACCCCTCTTCAAAGTTAACTTTTTAATGATCAGTCAGATGCAAGACTAGAGTATTCGGAGCCCTGGAGAGTCTACATAAACAGGAAAGACAGATCCATTTTGGCCCTCAGCTGCCCCTGTCCTAGTTTTTTAGGTGGGGCAGAAAGGCTATCTTGAGCATTGTCTTGAAAGAACCTTCCTGGAGGCAGGAAGTTTCTTTTCCAGGAGAAACTTTTTCTTAGGCTCTAAGACTCAGCAGAATATTTTATTTAATTTTCTGGTACTTAGATATTGATACTGTGTGTTAACACGGAGGCAAAAAAATGGGCATTTTGGAACCACATGTGTGACAAGATAGGCAAGATCTCTATATTTTGAGGAGATACAGAGAGTAGAAAAGATAGTTTTAAAAGGGTGATTATGAGTTAGGGAGGATTTGAGCTGGGATGTGTGTGTACCTGTCTGGGATGGGGGTGTGTGTCAGAGAAGGTCTCTTTTTGAGGAGTAACATGAGTTTGCAGAATAAGAAAGAGCCAGATATGCAGTGGGTCAGGAGCAGAATATTCCAAGGCAGAACCACAGGACCAGCACAGGACACACAAGACAATATGTGAAGGCATGTTGCTAAGGAAAGAAATGCACCATACAAATTGTAGATGTAACAGGATCCTAAGCATAACTTGGGCATAGATACCTACAAAGTACACATAAAGTCAGAAGGAAATATACCAGAATATTCAAAATGGCTGTCTTCCAATTGTATAAGTTTTATACACTAAGCATCTACTTTTAAAAAAGTATTCCAGTTAATGAAACACAAATTTAGTGAGGTGGGATTCCAACTTTAGTTTATGAGCTGTAGGGGAAAATCAGATGAATACTATCCTCCTTCCTTAGGATACTAATTTTCCACTAGGTTTGGCTACCATTGTTTTTAGGCTGCTTCACATTTCCTTTCAAATATGACCAAACTAATGAAAAGAAGGAAAAAAATGCCAAAAATCCATAAGGTAATAGAATCAGATAGTGTTTATATTAACTGAGAACAGGAAGATGACCCCCCCCTCCAAAAAAAAAAGGAAAGAAAGAAAAGAAAAACAGCAGCCACCTGTAAACCAAGACCAGTGTGGGACTGTTCACTTAAGCCAGGTGTGGTAGAGCACGCCTGTAGTTCCAGCTACTTGGAAGACTAAGGTGGAAAGATCGCCGGAGCCCAGCACCAGGCTGCGGTGGCCAGAAGCGGCCACTGCACTCCAGTCTGGGCGATAGAGTGAGACTCCAACTCAAATAAATAAATAAATAAAACAAAAATAACCCCCCCCCAAAACAACACGGCGCGCCTTTCCCATCTCTTTAACCCCAGGCACCGAGAGCCTACTCTCAGCCTCGAGCAAGCAGTACAACGTGCCCACTCCTGCCCCACAGCCCGTGCACACCCTATACAAAGCAACCAATGAGTTTTCCTGTTCACAGTCGGCTCCGCAGGGCAGGCCACTTGTGCACAGCACACCTCTGGGCAACACCTGTCCAGTCGCGTGCTCTCCTAACCCCAGCCCATGGGGCGTAGCAGAACCCTCATCTAGGGTTCTGCCAAGAATATTCCACCAAGACAGCAACTACACCGCCCAGAGAACATTGAGCATTCACTCACCACGGGCACAGCACGGATCCTAGCAACACTCCCATGCATCTGGGCCCTCCAGAGCAAGCCGTCACTTGGGGCACGCGGCCCGAGCTCCCCATCTGGACTTGTTTCAATCCCGAAAACACGCAGCAAGCTTCTGCTGAGGACACACCTAGGCCCTCGGTGTCGGCCGCGCCCACCACCCACCAAACAAGCTTTCACCTCGGGCCCTGCAAGGCCCCCGCATCCCCTCGAGACACACACACACACACACACACACACACACACACACACACACCACACTTGGACCCCTGCACTGCACCACCCTAGGAGAACCCTAGCCACGCCCTCTACCCCAACCAGAAAACCCCTCCAAGATCCTACCGGAGAATGTGGACAGCAGGAATACCAGGGCCACCAGGGACAACCCAAGGAAGCTCTGGGAAGGATAAGGACGCTCGCGTTGGCAGGCAGACGCCATACGCGGCGCGGTAGACGCCGTTATTTTTCCGGACATGAGCGGGAAAACTGAGAGCCAAGCCAAGCGAGGGAGTCCCTTCTGGGTCCGGTTATCGGACGCAACAATCCCCAAACTCACAAACTGTGAGGGGGCTTCCGGGCAGGTGGGCGTGGCCTGAGCCGCGCCCGGGGCGGAAGTGAGTTGAACCTGAGGGGTCGTGACCAATAGGCGGGCCATGGGGTGGGGCCTCGACGAGGAGGGGCAGTCCATTGGGCGTCTAGAAGACTGGGCGAGGCCCCGACTGGGGGCTTCCCCCTCGGTTCTGCCAGCTGCTGTCAGCTCCCCCCCTCCATCGGCGCTGTTTTCCTACTAAATTCTCTGCAGACCAACCAGGAAGCCTGACGCGGCTTGCGGGAAAGGGCTGGCTCGTCACCGTATTTGTGACCCAGGAAGGGTGGAGAAGACACTGAGCTGCTATGGTCATCATTTCCGAGGATCCGGAAATATTTATTGAAAAACAAAGCACAGCGATCTAAAAATAGAGACCCAGAGCCCAAGTCAGGCGGGTCACAGGAGCCAGCGCACCTCAGGATTCGTTTTCTGCGGGGGCGCTCCAGGATATTCGGCCTGTCTGGGCCCTTACAATAATGCCTGACTCATGCCCTTACTTGTTAGGCATGAGTCAGGCATTATCAGGGACAATATTTGAGCTTCTCTTGCTTGAATGTCTGTCTCAGGGCCGGCGTCTTTTCAAAATCCCAAAGATTTGGCCACTGAGCTCCCAACCGCTAAGGTAATTTGCTGTTCCCCTTACTCCCTTGAGAGAGCCGTGGAAATGTAAATTATTAAGCAGCAGCAGCCCATTAGCATATTGAGGCTTGGGGCCCTTGTACTTGAGCAACCAAATAATTTATTGAAAAGGAATTATGGTGTGCGAAGGGCCAAATTCCTGGAAGCCCATAAATGCCCTAGAGTTAGGGATGGTTAGTAATTGGTTAGATGAAATAACTAAGGGGGCAGGAGGGAGAACTTTCCTGATGAAACAATCTCTCGGACAATGCAGGAAAATTAAGAATGAGCAAGACTGATCTGTAGAGTTAGGAGTAAACCTGTTTGGTAAAAGAAAAAAGGAACATGACTGACTTAAAAAGCAAACAGAAAGAGTAGACTTTTTCTTCCTCTCAGATTGGCAAAGAATGAATACGTCAGCCAATGTGAGTGAACATGTTGTGGGGGACCAACACTACAACTTTTAGTATTTTTGTTTGGTTGGTTTTGGTTTTTTGAGACAGGTCCCAGCTCACTGCAGCCTCGATCTCCTGGACTCAAGTGATCCTTTCATCTCAGCCTCCTGAATGGCTGGGACTACAGGTGCATACCTCCACAGGCTAATTTTTTTTGTGTCGAGACAGGGTCTTGTTATGTTGTCCAGACTGGTCTTGATCTCAAATGGTCCTTTCACTTTGGCCTCCCAAACTGCTGGGATTACAGGCATAAACTACCATGCCCTGCCAAAATTTTAGTTTTTAGCTAAAATAACTTTTCAGTAGGTTAAATGTCTTAACATGGACATGACTTTAGAATCCACTAGTTCCATTTAGAATCTATTCCAGAGAAATCATCAAAGCTGTGAGCAGAGATATATAATTTTGGAAAAAATTACAAACCCTAAGTAATACAAATCCCAGCAAAATGGTAGGCCCTTTGTGTGATGGAATTGTATGCAGCAAGTATTGTATAACAATATCAATGTAAGAAAACATGATATATTTGTAAGTGGAAAAAGCAGACTCCATATCAGTATGTACTTTTTGGCATTCCTTTTATTAAAACAAAATACCATATTGATACATATTAAAAAAAGGACTCATTGTAAATACAACAAAATTAACAATAGTTGATAGAATTACAGATATTTCATTTTCTTTGTGCTTTTCAGTGTTCTATATTGGCCTATGTTATATTTAGAATAACGTAAAGAAAAAAATGTTTATGCAAATAAACTTTTGGGAGAAGAAAAAAATTTTTTTGAAAAGATCTAACCTATATATCAAGGTCTGTTTTTTTTAATAGAACGATGGTGATAGAACTTATATTACACAAGATTAAGATATGAGAGGATTGTAAGGACCTGGATGCTCACTGTATAATCCTCAAACGGGTCTTCTGGAATTATAGGATTTATATATATTTATTTATTTATTGCCAATGGCGAGCATTTATTGATCACTACTTTCAAAGTGAGTTTGTTTATATTTAATATAGCTCCATATCTGAGATGTACTGAAGACTTTCTGGGTTCACCAAACCATGAAATTTCCTCTTCCTGTCAAACCAAGACAAATTTTAAAATTCTTGGCAGAAACCGGGCTCGGTGGCTCAGCCTGTAATCCCGCGCCTTTGGGAGGCTGAGGTGAGTGGATTGCCTGAGCCCGCGTGTTCGAGACCCGCCTGGGCAGGGGAGACCTCATCTCTACAATAAAATCAAAAAATTAGCCGGGCGTGGTAGCGCGCGCCTGTAATTCCGGCTACTCGGAAGGCTGAGGCGGAAGGATCGCCGGAGCCCAGCAGGTCGAGGCTGCGGTGGCCGGGAGCGGCCACTGCACTCCAGTCTGGGCGACAGAGTGAGACTCCAACTCAAAAAAAAAAAAAAAAAAATTATTGGCAGAAAATATAAGCTATGAAGTGTGGAGGAGGTATATCAAATAAACACCTTAGTATTTGGGATTATAAAATCCAAGTATTCCATGATGGCAATTAAAGGAGGTATGAATAAGAAGATAGTAAATAGGAAACTGAATGAGGGGGAATTATTATTTCTGTTAATGCACAGTTGTGAAAGAGTGATATGACAGTCATGTTCTATGGCTCAATGTCAGCACTTAATTATGAAAACAGAATCTATTTATTATTCTCTGCAACAGTGAATATTAAAAGTTCCCCATCTATTTCCAGGTTTGGAAGAAAAATTTCTTTTTTCTTGTGAGAAAATTCAAAAGTTAGAAGCAAAAATATGGCTGTTTAGTTTCCTAATTTCAGGTGCTTAGATTAGATTCAAGGATTGAACTACTTTATTGGAACTTTTCATCAGTGAAATTTCTATCCCTGGGTTTCATCAAACTGTTCTTCATACACTTGAAGACTTTAAGGGGAGGTACTGTCCATCCCTTAACCTTGAGATCATTTTAGTGTCTGAATTCAAAGGGAGGGCGTTGGCAGGGAACTTCCTGCTGGGGTAGAACTCAGAGTCAAGGCTCTAAGTGAAGTAGCAGATAAACACTGGTTGGTTCCTTCAACCACCCCCCTCCCAAAGATTTTGTCAAACTGTCAGTGACAAGGAGAAAATGGAAGCCATGTGTGTTTGTGGACCAGGTTTAGCATTACGTGTAGATCTCCTTGAAGGCTTTATGAAAAGTAGTGGAGGTGGAGGTTGGTGTGTGGGGATGTCATGAAACTGTGGCCAGCTTCTTTAAAATGTGAAGTTACATGATCCTTTGCCTCCAGAATTAGTATGCTGTGTTTATATTATGCTTTTCAGAAGTAGGTGTAGCAGCATGAATGGGCCTCTAGTTGCACCTGGGTAAGCACCTGCAGTCAATTGACCTTTATGTTTAGTTGTGCCTGATTCTCTTTCCTGGTTCCACCAAGAACACTATTATGGTATTCCACACCCAACACAGGCATTCTGAAAACAATCAAGTACAGAAAGAAGGGGATTTCTCAGAAGGAGCGCGTATTCATTTTGTTTCCTCTTGGCTTTTAAAGGCTTTAAAACGTAAGTATAAGTTATATTCCATAAGTAGATTTGCAAAGATAAAGTCTTTTATTCTTTTATCGTTGTAATGGTGGAGACTGAAAATTTCATTTAAATATCATAGTCTTAAACTTTCACCTCACACTTAAGTGTACAAAAAAAGCAAACAAAATAAAGTTAGAATTTCAGGACTAGTAGTAGCTTCAGAGAGCAAGTGGTCCAGCCCCTGCTTTTCAGATGAAAATGTAAGACCAAAGGTTAGCAGAATTGCTTAAGAATTGCTAAGTTAGGCAATATAGTCTTTTACCCAGAGTTAGCATGCATAGTATTTCCCATTTTAACTGATATAATAGAAAAAAAAAATCTTGTGGCTTTCTTGCAGTTAAAAAGTCACAGATATCAGATATTTAGTAATCATATTGCTCACTGTAAAAAAAACAAAAAACACAAAACAACAGTTTTTTCCTTATGATGAAGAATTTTAATTCTAAGAAAGGCCAATTTTAAAGCATTTGGTTACTAGTCCTCCTTTAATACTCCTTCAAAATCCCAAGAAATAAGAGATTTGCTAAAGATCCAACTAAGCAAACATCTTATCATTGAATATTTTTTTTTTTTTTTTTGAGTTGGAGTCTCACTCTGTTGCGGAGGCTGGAGTTCAATGGCGTGCTGCTCACAGTCACCGCAGCCTTGACTTCCTGGGCTCAGGCAATCCTTCCACCTCAGTCTTCCATGTAGCCCAGTTAATTTTTTGATTTATTGTAGAGACGAGATCTTGCCAAGTTGCCCAGGCTGATCTCGAACCCCTGGTCTCAGGCAGTCCTCTCGCCTCAGCCTCCCAAAGTGCAGGGATTACAGGCTTGAGCCACTGTGCCCAGTCATTGAATATCTTTTCATATATTCACTGGCTACTTGCCCTTCTTTCTTGGTGACCTGGCTGTATTTTGCTTGCCCATTCTGGCGCTATTGGGGGGAGGTTTGGTCTTTAAACATTTAAGAACTGTACATAATAAGGCAATTATCTGTTGCATTTTTTTCTTGCAGGTTGTCAGTTGACTTTGCTTTGCTAATTGTTTTTTCTTTTCCTGTCTTGTATAATTTAAAATTGAAATTCAAATTAATATCTAGCTCATTCTTCATATTGGTGTCAAAGTAAATGTGGCAGAATCTACCTTTAAAGCTATTAAATACAGAAGTACACAGAAATTAGCAGTAGTCATATACAAAACTATTATTAAAAAATCCCAAAATATTCTAATATTTTCTAGAGATCATTGGGATAGCCCATAATATCATAACAAAATTTTGATCTATAAAGATGTGAACTGGCTAAAGATTTAAAAAGTGTCAGTCTGTACATGTCTTTTATTTCAATGTTTAATATTTTTTTATTATAGA